TCTCTAACGTCTCTCTGGGCTCAAGACTAGTTCTTGAGCTGCGACTAAGCCTCACTGGAGCGATAGCTAAAACCACCAAGAACTTCCTCCGTCTGCCTTCAACCTGCAGCATTTGCTACTGTACAGAGCGCGCACAGAAAGCTGTGAGAGGGTGTGGGATACATCTATTTCCTCTTCTAAAATGAAGGGAAATGGCCCGAAGGGACTGAATTATTGAACAACGCACTTTGTTTCCTTCTTGCTTGATGTCTTGGTTCAAAGAGGAGTTTGTTTAGTGCTTACTCCTTTGCCTTGTGGTTTAAAAACAACAGTGAAGGAAAACCAAGAACAAACACTGAGCAAGGAGCAGCTGAGTGGATAACCCACAGATCAGCCAGATTATCATGGGGTCACCCTGAGCCGTAGCTGGGATCCAGATGATTTAACCTGCCACGAATTGCTCCCACCAGAGAGCACTAGATGTGGCCTGTGTGCCGCCGGGCAGATGTGTTTGCCACGGCGTTTGGTGGCACCTACCTAGAGCAGCGCGTTAGGAGACCCTCCAGGGGACTCACGCTGCCGTAAGCACTGGTAACCCCACTCCGCCGGAGACAAGGACTGCCGTAGGGAGTGATGGACAGCGGTGAGCAGCTTGTGCCGCCTCACCTTGCTGTCCCCCGAAGCACCCAGCACCTGGTGGCACCGACGTCCCTGTGCCTTGCCTGGTTAGGGGTGAAGACAGGAAAATAAAGTCCCCCTGTGCTGGAAGGGCAGCGTATTAGCAGCAGGGTTTCTAGACTGGTTTGCAAAGATGAATACTACAGGAAAACCTCTTGCTCTCAAAGTCCTTGACCTGGCCTGTTTAGCAGGATAAAAAAGATGCAACAGTCATCGCACCACCTCATTTTTGTTTTTTGCTTCTATATCCTCTCCAAAAGGAGGAAGGAGAACCAGGTACACCCATCTAGGCGCTAATGGGGTGCTCTGCTCATCTCGCAGGGCAGGCAGCAAAGTAAATACTCCAAGGGACAGCCTTAGCTTTTCCGAACACCACTTCCCAGGGAAGATCCAGGCACTGTTCATACATATTTGGGCATGGGAAGCCTGCAGGTTTCTTTTCCTGATTGGAAACAGCTGCTATGTGCTGTAGATACTTGGGTACCATAGTTTTTAAAAAGAAAGGACCTTGTAGCAATGATTGCACAACAAAATTTGGCATTCCCACTTTTATATTAAATTTTTTTATTGAGATGATGTAATTACAGGCATTTTAAAAATTATTTGCAACTCACTGGCCCTGAGAATAGGCTTTTTTGTTTGTTTTTGTTTTGTTACATTCATTTGATTCAGTCCCTTAGCCCCACACCTTAAAAAACCAAAAAGCCATCATCAATAAAAACAGACTAGAATTTTATTTTAAAAAAAGACCTCGAACTGATGCATTCTGGATTTGCACACGGTTGCAGTCTGACAAAGAGATCTGGAGAATGCATGCGTGGAGTTTGAAATCTGGGGAGGGTGGCAGTGACTTAGTGTTCACAGAAAGGGCCCCAATAGTGTTCTTTGGATGGAGAGGCAGTCAAAAAGGTTTCAAACTTGAATCAAGAAAATGTCCTGCTGTGGAACTGCAGCGTGTCCTACCTGACCGGCTTGTGGCTTGTTCAGACTTGTAGCAAGCTGATGGCAATGAAAGTCCCACTTAACTGCACAGCGTGAAGATTCTTTGTTGGGTGTTGAGGTTGGCAGGGACCTCTGGAGGTCGTCTGGTCCAACCCCCTGCTCAAGCAGGGCCACCTACGGCCAGTTGCCCAGGACCGTGTCCAGACGGCTTTTGCATGTCTCCAAGGATGAGACTCTTTCTCCCTTTTCCCACTTGCTTTGGTGACAAAGGCAGAAAGTTTGGCTGCTTCGCTGCTGGCAAATTCTACACTGGGAAATCAGAAATGGGGGAGGGAAGGCGGGTGTCATGGCGGGTGGAAAGACAGTGTTACCTTTGCTAGCCCAGAGGGGCAGCCAAGCGTTCCTGTAGCTCGGTACGTTAATGCCATGTTTGCGCTCCATGTATCTGCCATTTGGATATGAGGTAGATGGGAATCTCTCTACTGCAGCTGCTCTAGCCTGTTTGGTTTTTTTTAAGTCATAGCTGGTAAACTTGCTTCCAAGACCCCAAGAGCAGTTCAAATCCTGCAGCTCCCACAACAGGTCCCAAGCCCCTGCGGTTCTGGCAACTGCAGTGTCACCCGCGCCACTCACTGCTGCACCACGCAGACCTGGCAGGAGGCAGGGGACAGCACCAGCCAGGAAGGGCCTCTCTGGGATCGGCCTGCTCCAAGTTCAAAGGCTATTTTAATTCCAACTAGCATCAGCCTTGAGAAAACTTCTTCTCTGTCGTGGTGGTGGAGAAGAAGTTGTCTTAAGATGTCCTTCATGTGTGAACTGGAAGAGTTTCCAACAGCCACCAAATTTTTTTTTCCCCTTTGACTTAGATTCTGCAGGTGAAAGTGATTGCATTTTTGGGAAAGGTGAACATTTCCTCTACAGAATTTCCCCTAGAAAATTTCCCTATAGGACAACATGTGTGATTTCAGGATTTCTTGCTTTTTCCTGTCTTACCCAGTGCTGAGGATGAACTTTCTTTGCTAGCATACACAGTGAGCGTATGGGCTTATACTGGTGGATTGTCTCTCGTTCTCTGTATTTTGCAGTGTGCACTTTGGCTGTGACAAAAACCTGTGGCTCATCAGAGCACTTTATATGGAAGGTCCCCACCGCCTCTTTTTTCCCTCACCATCTTGTAACAGTAGCTGCAGGAGGCAAAAGAAAATAATGCAGTTACGCAGTTGTCACAGCCTGAGCAGTAAAGGATATGAATCATTCTCTGCATAAACTTGGTTCCTTTCTACCACTGAACACCCTAAGAAATGCAAGAAACCAGCAGGAGCCCTTCTTTACATTGATACTTCTGATCACATTCTGATCTCATTCATATTCGCCTCTTCACCACACCCTCTTCACCCCAGCTCCTGGGACAGGGCTGCAACTTGGGTGCCCTTGAGCAGGGTGACAGAGCAGAGTAACTCCTTGGCCCCTTGGTTTCAAGGGACCTTTGGTTTCAGATCTGTGACCACTGAAGTCCCTCAGTGTCTCCCAGTCTCACATCTCCTGAGCTCCAAGGACTTCAGAGTCACGGCAGAGACAGGTGACAGGTTGTCTGCTCATCTTTCTGATACACACTCCCGCATCTTTTCTTTCGAGGCAGAAAAAGTCAAGTACGTGGTGTGCTGGGACTTGTAACGTATTGACTATGATTTAATAAAAAAAACATGGCTGGGAAAAGCTTAGGGAGAGATGTACGCCCTGTCGTTCCTCATCAGATACTGGCTCTGAAAAATCCCTCCTCTTTGTATGCTGCCTATCTACATCCTTAAGAAAGCTGTTCCTTCTACGACCTGTAACTCAGTATTAAGTCTTTGTGAGATTGGACTATCTCTGTTTAAACATAGGGGACACTATTCATTGCCGAGTGCCATTTTCTCCTGGATAGATTTCTTAAGTATGTGGTAAGATCAAATGTTGTGTTGGTTTAATAGCTGATAAAAGCTCTATCATGGGAATGTACCTTGGTTTTTGGTTGAAACGGATTAGATTAGCCCATTGATTTTTTCCATTTCTAGTATGCATGTTCCCATAAAAGAGGCTTTCTTTGTTAATGAACTGGTGTGGACGTGCTTTCTTCCAGACACCATGTGATTCCTGCACAGTTTCTCCATACATCTTCTCCCTTTGCAAGCATCATTTCTGCTGCTAGATCTGCCTTCCATTAAAAGGACCACTGATGGTGGATCGCTGGATGCCTGGACACCACAGACTTTCCTGCCATGGTGACCCAAGCAACGTGAAATGAGAAAGGCCAGTAGTTTCTCTTTGATTGGGCATCAAGCCGAGCTTCCTGTGACCAAACTAGACATAGCTCTTCACCTCATGCAAAGCACCCTCAGAGCAGCAAACCAAATTGGGGGTGTAAAAAATGGGGCACCTTGCAACCAGAACAAAACCAAAACCCAAGAAAGCAACACGGCTGTAGGGTTTCTTTTTTTCTTGTCTTTTAAATCATGTTAAAAACGGGCAAGCTGAGACAAGCTCCCCGGGAGCGGGAGGCATAAACCCCCCAAATTTCAAAACAAAGCCAAAATCAAATACAAGAGATAAGTATAGCTATTTGGTCTCTAGTTCTCTACCATCAGTCTTCAAACTGGTGAATCATCTACCTCTCCAGCAGCACAAAATGATCCTGGAGAGGTTTCTGAGTAATAAAAACCATGTGATGGGTCCCTTTGCTTTCTCCCTACTATGTAAGGAACAGTCCTTCACCTTTCACCCCCAAATTGCTAGAAGGTATAAGAAACACCCCTCCCTTTTGTAATTACAGATGCTTCAGCCTTTACTTTTGTATAGAAAGCTGAAATTCTGCACTGTGGATATATTGTGGGGGCTACATATATATACATATATATATGAAACGTTTCTATATATACACATATATATATGTATATATGTATTTGTCCCCACCCTCCCTCCCCCCTGCTTCATTCTATCACTTTTTTGCTAGAGGGAGGGAAAACGTCAACATCAGTCTGTTGCAGAGGTTTGTCACATTTATTTTTCTCCTCCCCGGAGCACTTAGGTGATTGATTTTGGTCCATATTCCAGCAGTTAATAGCCACTCGCAGGACTTGTTGTGCGCCCAAGCTATGCTGGGATGATATCCCAGCCTACACGTGAAGGGTGACTCCTCTTCATTTGACAGGTATGTGTGGTAAATTCTTTTGATAGCTTCAACACATTTCCCAGTGGCAGCACATGTAAATTGATCCGAGCAAACTGGAACCCTTGAGCAAATCCCTTCTGTGTTGCTATTGTTTTATGCGGTGTTATGTCATGAGACTTGCACAGAAAATAAAAGCGCTCTATTTCCATAGGAAAGCCTTCCAAAAAAAAAAAAGCATAATCTGACGTCTTGTCCTATGTGAGATAAGGAAAGTCAAACTGCATGTTTATTAGGAAAAAAAAAAACCAACAAAAAAACCCCCCAAAACTGAAACAAACCAAAAAGAAAGAAAGAACTCAAGGGAGACTTTGTAGGAACAGTGAAGTAGTGCATAAGTCCAGGCTTTCTCCCCTTTACTTTTCTGCCAGCACCACTTCTGCCTGTTAGTTTGTTTTGTTAAGGTGCTTCAGGTCCTGCGTGGTCTTCAAGCTAAGCGGCGACCCCAAGTACTGCTTCTGTGTTGTTGCTTCCCCTCCCAAACTGTGCCAGCCATCTGGGCAGATGTTTCTCCCACGGACCCACAGAGGCGGTGCACCAGTTCCCTTCAGCACTCATCTTCTTGGTATATTTGTTCATCCAGTTCCTGGGATTCAAGGTGCTCTAGGCGGTCTGTTCGGCCACTCATAATCTCATCTGGGGTCTTCATGAACCTGCAAAACACAGAAACAAGCGGATTTCCCAGTGGTCTCAGCTTTTACCTTCATCAAGACATGAAGGCCCCTGAGCTTTACAGCTCCCAAAATCAGCTCTGCTGTATCCTCCCAATGACTTAGTATTTCCCAGCTTCTCCCCAGCCTACTGGTGTCTTCCCTCCTCCATACCTGGAAAGGAAACCAAAAAAATCACAGGCATCTACCCCTGCTCCTTGAAAGTCCAAATTTGAACCAAACCCCATAGTCTTTTCCAAAGAATGTATTTACTTCTCCTCCCTCATATTGTTTGCTGTTGTCATGTAAGATGATAGTATGCCACAGGTACACTCATTTATGGTGTCTGGTGACAGAAACATTAACGACCTTTCTGGCCAGCACATTTCAAAGCAAAAGCACTTGCAAGGCGTGGAGAGGCAGAGGGCTACTGGTTTGTGCAGGCTTGTGTGTAGGTGAGCGAAAAGGAATATGAAACACCAAAGGAACAGTGGTGGAAAAAGCCAAGGACCAAGTCAGAACAAGTTCTAGGAAATGGAAAAAGCCCTGAAAGAAAAAGCTTTTGGGCTAAGGAACTGTGAGCAAAGACAGTCTCTTCCTGTGTGATTGCAGCAAGCGTAATTGTAATGAAGCAGTATCCTCTGTAAATGAATGCCACGGCTCCCAGCACTGATGTCTTGATGCACTAAGTCTGCAGGGGGCTAGAAACAGAAACTGCCTCTGAGGAGGCATGGCAGCAGTAGGAAATGGGAAAGGACATCCACCAGCCTGCAGATCAAGTCTGCGGTCTTAATCTTTGCCAGGATGCTTTCGTGCACTACTGCACAGAGAGAGCACGGAAAAGCTCTGTTTTTTCTTTCTGAATTTAATGGCGTAGGAAGAGAGAGCGGCACAGGAAGGATGAAATCCTAGTTTAAACACAAATCACTTTCCTACCTCATAAGTACTTCTGGAGAAATTAGGATGAAAGATGTTTATGCTGGAATTGTTACAAAATTTCACAGTCTTCCCTTAACGATGTACTGGCTAACATTCAGCAGTACAAAATGTGTTAGTCAGAGGAGCTGATTTTATTTCAGGTTGATGATACGCTCAGTATCCTTGCCCCAGTGAAAACAAAACCAACTGACAGGAGCCTTGTTACTATCACTGACCCAGAAAAAACACTGCTGAAGCTCATGGGCAAGGCTTGCCTCGTCTTCTGTCTCTGAGGTTATAAAACTGAGGGCTTTCCGTCTGAAAAATCTGGAGTCTCTCAGCAAACGCATAGCACAGCCTGGAACTAACCTTTTGCCACCCCTTCTAATTTTGGAAATCATGTGCACATATGCATTTAGGAAAAAAAAAAAAACCTGTGACTCACTGCTGTGTCACTCCCATTTGTATGCTGGAAGAACGCTGCTGATCTAAATGGTGTCACGGTGGTGAAAAACTACCATACAGAAGCGGTGAATCAGTCCCTGGCTACACAGTGAAAACGCATCAAAGCCTATGGGCCAGACTGTGCCCTGATTTAAACCCTGTGCTTGTCTTGTTGATCTTGCGTGAGGATGAAATCAAAACAGAGAGTGATCCCACTGCCCTCCCTACATTCTGTCTGCTCTGTTTCCTAAACCATGTGGGAAATGGGCTGATGTGAACTGTACTGCAGTACTTCCGGTATTCTTTCTGGTCTGTGTTTTAAGTCATGTCAAGAAACTCAGAGCATGGGTATTTGTAATAGCATTTGATTAAATTTTAAAAAACCAACCCAGAACTACAAGCTAATGAAGAAACAGTATCTGTGACCTCTTTTGTTGCAGAAGACACCCAGACAACCTATTGGAAATCCCTTCTCTGACTCCATTTTACTTAAAGCTCTGTACAGATATCTGCAGATGACAACTGCCTGCATGTTAGTTATAAAGTCACATTTCCTATTATTTCTGTGCTTGCGAGAAATAGCCAAGAAAGGCACATTAATGGCTTGATTTTTTGCAGCTGTTCTTCTTTTTCTCTTCAGATATAAATAGGTCTAAGAAAACAACATCAATAAGTTTTTATTAGGAATTGTGCAAAAAATGCTTTGTTGGTTTTTTTTCCCCAGTTTCCGAAGGAAATGAGGTTTATATGCTCGTGTTTTATGCTCCCTTGTGACCTTTGAATCTGTTGGTCAATTTTGGGCAAGTCTGACAGAGGAACTGAGGTCTCCAAGGGTATGAAGTTTCTACAGTTTTGAGAAAATAGGCCGCCTGCTTGAGAAGAGATGGACTCCTGTTTCGTTTGTGCCCCCACCAGAGGAGAGGCTCCAAGATAAGCACATTCACTGTTCAGCACCACAGAATTCCCCCGGGGCAGCGCAATCTTCACACAAAGCCATAGCAATCCAGGCTGCCTTCCTTGGTACTTGTTGCTGATGGAGCAACCTTGTTTTAACTTTCCACAAAAAAAATTAAAATCATGGAGTTGATTTTGCTTGTGATTCCTTCTTTGCTTCGCTCTCCTTCCCCCATCTAAGTCTCCTTCTAAGAGCTGACATAAACAAGACATTCCACAGAAACCTTTTCAGCTGTAGATAGTTTGAGTGCTAATGCAGTTCTGTTAGCTATTTAAGAAAACAAACTCCAAGACTGCCTTCCTATTGATATAATTTGCAAGCACATTACCAGATCCAGACCACTGACATCAAAGCAGTCTTTGGTCTGACTTCAGTGCTCTGTGGGTCAGAGGTACGCACTAGGATTTGCTGGTCCTCTCTGAAAAGAACTAGAGTGCTCTCGCTTTCTGCCAGCCGCACTCCAGTTTGTACAAGTAACACCCTGCTTTACGCTATTTCGGGCACTATTTCCTAAATTCTTGGTTGTGTCATCGAATCCGATGCGTTAGGTTTTATAAACAGTTCTTGCAGGTCCCTCCTTCCTTGAAGGCAGCACCGCTGAAGACACGGTCATCAGCACTTCTCTTCTGGGATGCTGATGCATTTGAGGAAATGCCTGATCCCTGCTTAGCTTTCACCAGCAGCTCTGTCTGAGAAGTGAATTTGGAGTGGGTTTTCCAGCAGCTTGGCTGAGATCACGAATCATTTAACTAAGGTCTTAAACAATGGCGCAGCCTGCTTGAAGCGAGTGAAAAGACTTCTATTGACTCCACTGATCATTGAAACAGGCCTGTATTTTCGTAAATTGGTGCAGTTGCCTTGAAAGCTGGGAAGCACTGGTCTGAACAGCTTTTACAAATATATGCCCATTGTCACCCGTGGCAATGAAGTATCCCACACACAATTCCATCCTCCATCTTCAAAAACTAATTGTCTGTAGAAAGGAATGGCAAAGAAAAGAAAAAATTACCTGAACAAAAGCCTTTGTCCTGGCTCCTTCCGGATAATATTTAGTTTGTAGTAGTGGCGTAGGGCTCTGGACATTTTCTCATAAGTCATATTTGTTCTGTTCTGTTTTTTTCAAAAGAAAACGGAAAAACGTGATTAATTAAAACCTTTCTAAGCCCCAAAAGAAGTTGCAGAACTATCACAGCCAGCTGAAGTAACCAAGTCAGTTCAAGAAATTACATGTTCCACTCTTCTGCTGTTTGCAGGCCCATCCTGCCCCTCCAGCCCTCATCACCAAATTTTTATGGGTCTCTCTTCATACAGGGCAATTTAAGCAACAAAGTCTAACAAAAAGTGAGGTTTTTCTACAGTTTCTTGGATGACAGGTAACAAAAGGCTTCATCAACCACAAGAGGAGACATTAGATGGAGAGAGATGCTTATGCCAAGTGGGATGCGACAGGCCTGTTCTTAATGAAACCACCTTTTATAAAAGCTAAGAACAGTGGCTAACAGACTGAATCTGTCAGCAATCCCTGCTAAGAGCACTACTCCTCTGGGATTCCCCTCCATTAACTAGTTAATGCTTACAGAGCACTGTGGAGATTGAGAGCCTGTTTCTCTTCTTGTTATACAGGTGTAAATCAAGAAGTCCATTAGGTTTTACATCTGCTCCTATGACAGAACTTCCCCTCTGTTTTGGGAGCTGCTGACCCCAAAGACCATAGCCAGAGCACTGTGGGGTATGGCCCTGCTGAAGCTGAGAGGCAGAAGTGATGGGTACTGGCAGAGCTGTATGTGGGCAGGCCCCATAGTACTGACTTGGGATAGCAGTATCAGTCCCTTAGGCTACATCTACATGAAGAGTGTTTTTCTGGTACAAGGAGCACTGGTTACTCTGCTGGCAAAGAAATTCCCAGCAGAGAGACAACTATACTGGCAAAGCCGTGTTTGCACGAGTATAAAGCAGCCGCCTTGCCATGGGCAAAACATACCAAACTAGTAGAAGCATGCTTTTGCTCTGTGAGCCTCCATGTTAGGAGTTTGGCTTGGCACAGCTCTGCCAGTCCAAGATCAGGCAGAATTCTGTAGCGTTGACCGGGCTTTATAAAATGGGACTGATCTGCCTGGCTAAAATGCCCCCTAAGAGCAGACTTGCTCTGCTTGCTCTGACCGCAACAGCTCTGCTAAGGGAGGCCACATAAAGAGCTCCTGTGGCAATTAAACACTAACAATGACAATGTTTTCCCTGCAAAATCTAGACTCTGCTCATTGGGAAGCTCCTGAAATACCATGTGTGCTTTTTCCATTTCTTGCTAAATGCTAAAAGGCCACTGCATTTCCCAAGTGGCTAGTGGTCCGAAGCAGCTTCAGTTTTAGACACCCAACATGATGGCAAGGCCCGATTATTAGCATGGAGGTTAGGTAAGGGCAGAACTCTCCCTTCCCAGTGTTGCAGCCCAAGACTTCTAAGACAGATGTTCTTGTAAGCAATGAGTCACATGAGAAAATCTTGACCTTATCAAGATTATAGGCTGTGTATACTCTCATACAGAATCACAGAACAGTTGAGGTTGGAAGGCACCTCTGGAGATCACCTAGTCCAGTCCCTCTGCTCAAAGCAGGGTCAACCAGAGATGGTTGCTCAGGACTGTGTCCAGCTGGGTTTTGAACACCTCCAAGAATGGAGACTGCACAGTTTCCTCTGGGCAACCTGCTCCAGTGTCTGACCACTTTCCTAGTAAAACAGTCCCACACCTGGGGTCTCATGAAACCTAACAAGGGGAAATGTAAAGTCTAACACCTCCCCAGGTCATTCCTGCCCAGGTGGCGGACTTTACATTGTCCCTTGTTAAGCTTAATGAAATTCCCGTTAGCCCATTTCTCTCCACCATGTCCGGGTCCCTCTGGATAGCAGCACAAACCTCTGGTCTATCAGCCACTCCTCCCAGTTTTGTATTGTCTGAGAACCTGCTGAGGGTGCGCTCTGTCCCATCATCCAGGTCATTAATGAACATGTTAAACAGAATTGGCTCCAGCATCAATCCCCAGGGTAACATCACTAGTGACTGGATTTTGTGCCGTTGATCACAACCTTTTCAGCCCAGCAGTTCAGCTGGTTTTCAATTTACCTCACTGTATTCTTGTCTCGATCATACTTCATTAGTTTGTCAATGAGGATATTATGGGAGACAGTCTCAAAAGCCTTTCTAAAGTCAAGACAAACTACATCCACTGTTCTCCCTGCATCCACCGAGCTAATCATTTCATCGTAGATGGATATCAGGGTGGTCAAGCATGATTTCCCTTTTGTAAATCCATGCTGACTACTCATATACTCATATAAATATACTCACATGCATATAGTCATATCTGTACATACTCAGCCCCAAACAGCAAAAATCCGTAACTGCTTTCCAGAGAACAAAGCAGAATTACCCTCTTAAAAGGAAATACATAATCCTGCAGCATTTGGTGCCTGTCACAGGACAGCCTGTGAATGTTGGTGCAGACAGGAACACAGACAGAAAGCTCCTGCCAAGATGTAGTACACAGCTCCTTGTAGACCACATCTAATCAGAACATCTTTAGCATCAGGTTTCAGGAAGAAATGAGATGCCTTGAGAGAGAAGAACCGTTAATTCTTGCACTCCTTATAATTTTATAATTAAAGGCATTTATAACTAAATGCCTTTAAACCAAACCAACAGGTTCTTTATATGAAGGATAGGCTTTAGAGCTTGAGGCTGGATGCTTTATATTTCTAATGTGTGTAGAATGAAAGATTACAACTTTCCAGCAGTAGTTTATATGCACACGCTTTCTTCCTTTTTCCCCTGTTTATAAGTGAATCCTGTGATGTTATAAGAGGTGAAGTGCCGTAGGAGGAAAATTGCATTACTTCCTTACCTTGTGGTTTCCCCACAGCCGGGCCAGCCCGTTGGGATCCACTATCCGAAATATTTTGGATTCCTTATCTTCCCATCGGATGAAATTTTCGTACCGGCTGTCAGAAAGCAGCTGATAAACATAATCCCAAAGCAACCTGCAGTCTGTGAAGAAAGGAGCAAGAAATATTGACTTTTATTCATTGGAATTAATTCTGGAAACTTTTGGGTGGATGTGTAGTAAAAGGACAGTTGGGATCAAGGCTGAAACAGCTGCTGCAATCTGAAATGCAAATGGCTTGGTTGGTATTGACTGATGTTTGCAAAATGTACTGGAATATACAGCCTCTTCTGACGCGTCCTAGTCCTTCTGACACTGACTTTATCACATTAAAAGCTGCGTGACATGACCTGCTGATCTTAGTTGTGTGTTTATTGTTGTACTGATGCACATAAAACTGCCACCGTTGGCCCTCATACTGTCGCTGGCTGTTTCACTGGGGAAATCAAGAATCCTGCAACCTGCTCTCCCTGCTTGAGGCTGCCCCTTTCTGTGCTAACATGAGGGGTCTAAAGCACGGGCAATGTTACAGCTTTCCTTTGTATACTCCATGTGATATAACATTGATGCCTTCTACCATTTTGGAATTTGCTTTTTGTTTTATTTTTTAAGGTTCCTGAAAAAAAACCCTGAAAAAAAGTATTATAATTACTTGAGTGCTATTGAGAGGTTAAATACTTTCTATTTGGATAATTGAATTCAAATTTCCTCTTGGCAAACACTCCTTAGGTCGCTAATTAAAGGCCTAACAGATACTTAGGTTTTAGTTTAGTGTTTTTCAGTTTCACGGCAGTCTCTTGAGACCGGGGAAGCCGAGAGCTGAGCTGCTCCTACTTCCTGCTTGCAACGTGTGTGTGCACAGCACAGCATAATAACTGGCAACTATGAAATATGGAAAGCGAATTGCAGAGAGCTGGGGGTTCTGCTGCTGTCAGAAACAACAAGGTTTTTATAGCTCAACTGTCCAGATCCCTCAGATGGCCATATAGTTGCATTTTACTTTGAAAGCAAAATCAAGCTCTGAGAGATGGCTTGTTAGAGTGGTTAAAGGGCAGGCAACCAAAGGCATCTAGCTTCTAGGTGCTAAAATGGATTCTTGTCCGCCTATCTTCCTATTCTTGTCTGTCTGGGGTTGGTACGTGTTACGATGGGGATGATTCTCAGTATGAGAATATAAAATGCTTTTTGAAAAGGGATATGAATAACACATTTAATGAGCACACCTGAAATGGTTAGAGATATTAACATTGTTGATGGTATTTCCCATTTTTGAACTGTAAAGAGTATCTCTGAAATCTGTACTGTCTCTAAAACCAGAGCTTAGTTTACCAGTGCCCTTACTATAGACTCTCCCTACCACTCCTACGGAGAATAAAGGAGTGCGTTTTGAAGAGATGACATCTGGCAAAAATTGCAGATTTCTGTTCTAGGTGAAACCTACCCCGATGGTCACCTCATCCGTGACATCTACAAGAGGACGAATGTGAAAGGAAAGAGGCAGTCAGTTTTTTTGGTTGGAAAAACCTTATTTTCATTAACATTTTTCAGGGAAAAATGTCCATTCCCATGTGAAATTTTTCTGTGTTTTAATTTAAAAAATGAAACCAATTTCCATTTTTTTCATTCATAGATGAGAATGTTGTTCAGTGACAGCTTCCTCCCTCTCACCCAGAATAAGGTACCTACAGCTGGGACCACAAAGAAATAATTCTCCTCCGCATGCATTTGCCAATGACCAGCCTAGGCAGGTCCCTTCTTGGCACACGGATGCAGAGAAGCCTTCATTTCCCTGTCCTCCCACCCCAAGTTGCTTACGTAGCCCAGCCGCCTACCCCACGGCTGCGGCTACCAAGCAGGTAGCTGGCTGCAATTAAATGCTGCAATGCCAAACACTGCTGCAGCTAACCCCTTGTGCGGCTCTGGGCACAAGTGACTTCCCCTGGACTACGTGGGAGGTCTGTAGAAGAGCGTGAAATTTAAAGTCTCAGACTAACACTTCCATTTCTGTCATCTTTCCTCTCACAAATTCACAAAACCCAGTTCTTCCACCACCTTTCCATCAATAATTTTTCACACACACACACACACACTCTCTTAGTCTCTTAGACATGCACATATTAGAAAAAACCTTCTTTTCTACACTTCATTTATAAGGAACAAGGAAAGGGAGATTGTATTGCTCTACTGGTTTGTGCCTTTTAATAATGTGGGAGGTGGTCAGGTAATAGCGTAGTAAGGCCACGTAAGTGGTTCCTTGACACACATGCAATTCATTCTCGAACTCTTTCAGTGAAAGACGGTATAGAAAATGATTTTTTAGTGCAAGAATCTTAATTTAAAAAAAAACCAACAAAAACTTTAACTGTCTTTTTTTAATTTTCCTTTTCCTTCAATTCCTCTAGCTCTGACGCCCCAGGTCATATTTTACTCGTTGATCGGAGTTGGTAATACTGCTGTATTCCAAAAACTACTATTTTTTTTTCATCATCCTGTGTAATCTGTGATAACTTTAACAACAAAACCTGCATAGTCTATGCCAACAATTCATGCTGAAGTCACTGTTTTAGATCAGCTTTTCCCAAAGACCTCCATGCTTTCTTTCTGTCCAGTCCTTCATTGAAATCACTGTAAAGGTGATGTGATTCCCTAGGTCAGCGGTGAATCATTCACCACGACCATCAGTGGGCAGTACTGGGCTAAACACTGTGGTGGGCTCAGGCTGGCCCCACCTCATCTGCAGACCAAGAGAGGTCTGTCTTGGTGGGAGCAGTTTGAAATCAGAAAACATTCACTTAACTGATATTCGTCAGAAAAAAAGAGACACTTTTTGGCCAAGGCAGGAATTTATTAGAAACTTGAGGGAAGAGAGGAAGGACGTGTGAGTCTGTTGTTGAACCAGAGCTTTTGAACCGTGCTGGAAGTTTGCTGAGGTGGTTGGTTGGCGTACGGCCCCATCAGGAGAGTGCTGCAGGAATTCAGCGTCCCAGTGTCAGTCATTTGGTTTTGCTTGTGCCACTATTGCTAGTCCTGGAAGGAGTGGCCCTCCTTGGGGTCAGCTGGAGGGATAGTGCTCCCGCAGAGGCAAGTCAATGTCAGGCTCTGTCATATTCTTGAACGTGCAGTCCAGGGCAGATGCCCTCCAACTATAGTAACTTATGGCGAATATTTACAATTCTGCAGAGATATGATTTACCCTAAACTTTACTTTCACCTCATTATCTGCAATATGCGGTGTTATTTTTAATCAGTAGTATACTACCGTAACTATGCTCTAGAAAATTTCCAAGTGTATAAATACAGCTCTTACTGAAGGGGATGGCAGACCCCTAATATCCTCTCTACAGTGGACCCTGAAGAGTTTCAAGGAGCTGATGGCTCCTTGACAGCTGACTGGAATTGCACATGCAATGTGAATTGCACTGTGCCAGGGCTGCACATTCACCTCAGTGCGGCTAGCAAGTAAATTCTAGTCGAACCTAATGGCTTTGGTTATTTTCCATTGGCAATCACTACTTCACACACACACACACACACTGTACCCCCCTCCTTCACAAAAAACAAGAAAGCTCAAAAAAATTCAGCCCAAGATGCCTGAGTGGCAATTACTGGACTAACAACAGAGCTTCAGACTCTGAGAAGAGGTAGGATTCAAACGCAGATTTGTTTTTTGTTGTTCACTCAATTTTTAGAATGGATTCAGGCTAAGCTTGAATATAAATATTCCTCAAATGAGAAGAACTCAGATCTGCATCTTGAGATCTTCACAAGAAAAGTCCCAAGTGATCAAGGGCCCCATCCATATTCTAAACTGACTGAGCTGCTCAGACTTGCAGAGGTATTTAGCAGGCTGGTGGAATTCGCGAAAAAACCCAACCACCCAAGTATCTGAGACCTCTAAGTCTCTGTTTGTTTCAACAAGAAAATTGAAAATTCTCGAAAATTCTGCTTTGCTCTTACAACCACTTAAAAACTCGTCTTCAACAGCTACACTTGTCTATCAGCAAATTTAGATATATGACTGAGTTGCAATAATTTAATGAGCTGGCATGCTTCAATGCAACTGTGGCAACTGTGTCTCAGGCCACTGCAAATAGGAAATACAAAGCATTAGCTTCAAACACCAGTAGAAAAGATTTAGGCTCACTGCATTTCTTCTCACCTCTGCTGAGAGCTATGAGCGTGCACACTTAGTTATCATGGACCAGCTGATGCTTGGCAGCACAATTTAGTTAAATGTATGAGCTCTGTTTGCAGAGTACCTCAATCAGTTTGCCTTCTTTCAAGTTTCACATGGGAGACCTTTAGGAATTTGAGCATAGGCACTCAGGTTTTTTTTTGTTTTTAACCACGAATGATTTACACCCTCAGTATCTTTCTCCACAGGTTGCACGGTAAAAAAGTATGAGGTTCTGGAGGGGTCTCCCTGACTGACAGAGGAGCAGCAACTAAATAATCTACCATTATTACGCCAGTAGAAACCATCTTTAATAGGACAATAGAGACTACAAGTCAAAGACTACTTGATAACTCTTAGCCAGTGTAATGAATTTGGAGTATAGTATATATATATACTCCATCTGGAGTAAACTGCAGCCTATGAAACTGCTGAAAACCCAAGAAGAGGCAATGCTAGAAAACGCTATTAAAAGGAGCTTCTCCACTGGGAAAAGAGATACCTCCATAGAAGGCTGGTGAAGACAATACAGAAAGTAGCATCCTTCAGGAACGTCAACGCTGTTACATGTATTTTCAGGAAGGATGGAGAAACTGAGAGAGGTTCTTGTGCGTGGATGGTTGTTTTGTAAGTGTAAATCACTTGTCTGAGGAAAGTCTGGATCATGCGAATGACTCCATGAAGACCAAATCACTTCCTTGACTGTCAGAAGGCCTCCAAATGAGCAATCACATGGGGGAACTCTCCACAGGGTGTGTGTTGGCTAGTGAGCGATGGCAAGAAAGCACATGGATGTTGCTGAAGCCCAGCAAGTTTACAAGTGTGGGACATTCAATAGGGGAGTTGAGTCAGGGCTGGTACCTCAATTATTTGGGCATGCTGCGATTTCCTGCCTTTTGGCTAAAAAAGCTTACTTAGAAAGTAACTATG